TAATCTATGAAAGGGCGGTCAACCATCTAAGTGCTAACTACGATTGGTGTTGCTTAACTTTGATTACTTATTGCAAGGGCATTAGCCCACATGGTTAACCCAGGCCATATATATATTCACGCTTATTATTTTTTTTAATGTCATGTTAATTTGTAAAAAAATTTCTCTAAAGTTGACAATTCATTTGTTTTAGTTCAGATTTTATGACTTATTTGTACGTAATATTTATTAATAAATTGTAATTACTATTTTATACTTACACTTCAATTGATTAAATACATTTTCAAATCTTCTATGTTAGTATAGTTTTGTTATACTTCTTTTTACTTTAAACCCATAATGTTCATTCATAATAATATTTGTAGAAAATCTTCATTTCTAAACAAATATGTACATCCAAAACCGTTATTTTACTTCTAAACCAGTTATGTCCCTTTAATTTAAATTGAAAATATTCAAACTGAGCATTAGAGTAATATAATTCATTTACATGGCAGGAATAAATTAAATCTTTCAGTTGATTGTTTTAATAAAATTGAAAATGAGGTAGGCAAATATTAGAAAAACATTTTAACATTATAACAAATAAATATATATATATATATATATTTGTTTATGGTAAACTTAGTTATAAAGAGTTTTTTTTTATTGTTACAAAATTCTTTAGAATCTTTTATTAAGAAAAAGCTTTCTCTGCATCAATTTGTTATATTTTTACTTTTAATTAAATTTATAATACTCGATTTGGGTGACCGTCCACCAGGGAAAGCCACACTGCCTGAGATTCTCCCTCCCCCATGTATGCGAGTCCCATCAGCCTCTTGGAGGCAACTCGCACCTACCCGACATAGGACTGATGATCCTACCCGTGTACTTAAATCAGGAATCAGGATGTGCTCTACGAGACCACATCTCACAATCAAAGATCTCCATGGTCTATAGTGCCAACCGAAAAAAAATAAAATATATATACATATATATATGTTTTATTAGGTTTCAAATAGGTATTAAATATAATTATTATTATTAAATTAAATTATTAAATAACATATCAAATCTAATCAGTACAGTAATCAATTACAGTTGGATAGTCGGATTAAAATATCCGATACAATTATTGGAATATCAAAGCAAAGTGCCAGTATGCATACCGCTCGGGTATCTGATAAAAATATCCGATACAAGTATCAGATAAAAAGTAATAGGGAGATAATGACAAACTACTGATCCCTTTGTATCAGATACAAAAAAGTACCTGTATCAGATACAAAAAAGTACCAGTATCAGTTGTATCTAGGTACAAAAATTCTGGTATCATCCCATCCCTAATAAACAATGGAATAATTCACAGCTTCATGAGATAAAAAGGGAGGTTATGTGATGTAACATTAGATAATAAGGGAGGTTTCGTCTCGACTGGCAACTAGACAAGTACCGAAATTTATAATTATTTTATCTCAGGTATGGGTTACTGACAATCAGATCAAAAGACTCAGACAGACTAAAATTATTTACACTAAAAACTGTTTGATTTTAAATTAAAGTCAATTACGGATTGGCAAGCTAACCTTTTTCCTATATACACTGTTTCTTCTTTTGTGGCACTGAATTCATTTGTCTTCAAACACTTTCCATCCAAAGTTTTGCCAAACATACCGTCCAAAATGGTGACACTTTCATCTACTCAACTCAAACTCCCTGGGAGATTCTCTCTCTTATGATTCCAAACAACTAGTGACCCCGCCAAACAACAATTTCTAAAATGGTAATACTATTACTGGGTTTTACCCATTGGAGCCAGGATCTCTTCACCTCAGCCGAACACCAACTGCTTGCAAAAACAAAAATACTTTGTCCCATCTCCTCTATGGGATTTTCCTTTCAGCAGCCATTTTCTTTTCCCTGAACTAGTAGAACTAGACTAGCTTACTTTTAAGTGTTCAACATTAATTTATTATACAGCATATAACAAACTATTGCCTCCCTCCACCTATTGGGGATATATTCAAGTGAACCCAACAGGACAAAACCAAAAAACATGGGTGGATGAAATCACCAAGAAGGGAGAGAAAAGAGGCAAGCAGTTGGGTCCTATGAGGATGCTGGCAAAGGATTGTAATAGCTGGTGTAAATAGGTCAAAGCATTTCAAAGCCTAAATGCACAAAGGAGGAAGGAAAAGAAAAAAATAAGACTACTGTTTTTGTTGGTCCTGATCTGTATAGGCCTCAAACTTTACATGATCCAGTTTATAGTCATAATCTGTGATGAATCCCCAAGCTGGAAGATCAGGATATACTGTAGGACTATAGGACACTCAATTTTCCTCTGAATCTCAGAATGAGAACCTTACCTCCCTTAGAAATTGAACCTACGCTACAAATATGTATATGTATAAACATATATATCATTGTGATTATGCAATTATCCACCAGTCAAATCATATATAAGTCATTCCAACAGTTGATATAAATTGACGCCTCCAGAAAATTGTGGCTTCTGCATAAAATTTCTTGTATGCCAATTGATGCCCATGAGAACTAGACTCTTTCAGCTAAGATTTCAATTATTTTTATGTTAGAAATCAATTTGTTTTCATGTTTAAATTTAAATTATCAAAATGTACTTCCTCTTCCCTCCACTAACAAGAGTTATGTATAAATAGCTTTAATCTATTTTCCTCCTAGTTCATGAAAAAGTTCACCAAATCTTTGCAAAGCATTATATTTTTATTTTTATGGGTAATAAACCACATGAGATTCCCATCTAACTGAAGATAACCTGGTTAGCATCTACCTCCAGTTTTAACATTTTCCAGTTAATATTTATGTTATCATTATTAGTGTCTTGTTATACCCAATTCTATTTTCCTTACACCATTATTTTTCTAAGATATATTTTTATAGATATATATTTCTAAGAGATATATTATTTTCATGGCCAAATGGGTTTTTCATCAGGAGTTCAATGTTCCGGTTTTTGTTTGTTCTGTAAGATGTATGGCAATGATTTAATCTTAATAAAGCTTTAAATTTCTATTTCCTTCACATCACCAAAAGTGAAGAACAGATTTCATGTCAGCAGTAGTGGAGCTAGAGCTTTAATACACTTGGGTGATATGATATTGCAGGATACTCTTGTTCAGGGCAGGTAATTGGGTATTGTTTGAAAATTTTTAGGAAAAGTGCCATTTAAATTTTTAGTATTTAAACATTTTATATTTATTATAAAAACGCATATATTCAGCTAATAACTTAAAATTATTGCAATCTTCAAAAAGAACCGTAAATTCACCTGTGATGAATAAATCATTTATTTAATTCTAGAATAGTGAGGGGCCCAAGTCAGTTACCCCATCATCCATCCCTGTATGTGAGGATCATCATCAAGCAGTGACCAAAATTTCATCCAGTCTTCACAGAAGTAGTTAAAGTGGCTTGTTTGTTCTCAATTCTTTTCTTCAAATGTTGAAATAAATGAATTATTTCACTTTTCATCTTTTATAAATTTTAGGTTAATTAATATTTTACAGCTCGACTAATTGATATCCTCCTCATTAGTGATTTTGTGGTAATTGATTCAGATAATGGATAATAAAACTAATCATGAGTTGAATTAGAGTATTTCCTATTTATTTTCATGATTACCATTTTATTTCCCTAACCTTTGTGGTTTAAATTCAATCATAATCTGATTTCTCTATTTAAACTCATCCCTATGAAGAGATTTTTTTTTTGTCACTGTCATTAGTATCCCATCTGTGAGATAATCATGAAAAAAAAAAATGATAATTACACTTCAGTTTTTTTATTATTATATTTTTTATGTGGAATCATAAATCTCAAAAATGAGATAATTAGCCATAAATAAATTAGGTATATTCTACTAATTTATATATTTACTATTAATTTATTGAATTCGTTTTTATATGATCCATGCACAGTGATTAACCCTCTCATTGAGGTCTCACCTTATTTTAAGAACATCACTACATTATTCTTATATTAATTGACATCATTAAATATTATAATGAGAATATAGAACTGAATCCAGGAGGGGTTCTAAAAAGAATTAGACATTTTAAATATCTTGGTTCCATAACTGAAATAGATGGTGCATGTGATGTGGAAATAAAAAGAAAAATTTCAGATGGTAAAAAGATCATATTAATGCACAACTCGGTATAATGGAACCAGAACATTATCCTCCAAATGAAAAAAAAACATCTACAATAGTATAGTACTGAGCATTATGACAAATGGGTCAGAAACTTGGACCATAAAAAGCAACCTCAAGAAGAAACTTCTAACCACCGAAATGGACTACTGGAGACGAGCAGCGAGAATATCCATAATGTAAAAGTGAGAAATATGAACATCAGAGAAAAGATGGAGGCTAAAAGAACCATTATGGAAGAGAATAAGAAAATGCCTGAAGAGGTATGGACATTTAAAAAGAATGCCTGAAGGAAGACAACCCAAAGAAATCCACTCATGGAAAACTAGGGAAAGAAGACGAGGAAGACTAACGAAGACCTGGGATAACGAAGTGGAGGAATCCATGATGGGTCATGGTCTACGGGAAGAATGGACCGTAGATAGGAAATTGTGGAAAAAAACCATTCAAACACTTTAGGTTAAGAAAACTCACTATTAGTGGAAACTCCTAATTAAAAAAATAAATAATAAAAAATTTGCTCAGTCAAATTATTTTACAGATGGCTAATTAATTTGATGTAAAAATTTACTTTGTATTTATAACAAATAATAAATTTTACATAAAATCAATACATACATCGAGAGTCAGTAAGAATATTATATTATTTAAATCATATCAACATTAATTCTGCATTATCATTCTTTTGTTTTTGTTAATATTGAATTCTTGACTTTTATCTTGCTGTAAATAAGTAAAAAAAAATTAATGTATTATAAAACTGTTATCATTCCATATCGACTAATATATTGCAAACAAATACATAAATAAAACCATGATTTCTTACGGCTTGAAATGCATTCAGGACATTCACTGGAGTACAGACAAGGTTTATGATTTTCTTATTCCCCCATAGAGCCATGTTAATATAAAAAATTGCTCCTCTCAGTAAACCTGGATCTGTTTGAGAAATGCGACAGTGAAGTAAATCACACATCGTATTCAATGCTGAATGCCCTAAGTGTGTTCCTAATAGGTTCCTCATTATCTGCAATCATAATCAAATTTTTATAATGAATATATTGATTAAATAAATAAAAATTAAAAAAAAAACACACTGCAACTTAAAAAATAAACCTACAGAAGTATCACTCATCTACTTTAATGAAACTTGTCGTTCTTGGAGGAATAGAAAACAATTAATTTTTTGAATTGAAAACTTTTTTAGGCAAGTTTTGCACTTTTTTTGTGGAGAGTGAATTATATTGAAGATACGGATTAAAATATCTCAGAAACTAAAAATCGGGAATTGTTCAACATTTCATCCTCTCTGTAATGGGCTATTATTCAAAATTGTATCTTAACCCGATGCCGTGTTAGTGAGGCAAAAAGGAAAAAATAATGTCAAAAACCAAATAATAATGAGTTTTATTGAAGATATGGATTAAATTATCACAGAAACTAAAAATCGGACCTGCATACTGTAAAAGAGGTAAATGTTTAGCATTTCATCCTCTTTATTTATAATTTAAATAAATAAATTTTATTTGTTTTTTGGCAGATCCATATAAATGGATTTGAGTTTATATAGATGAAATCAAATTAAATACGTTAATTGTAAGAATTAGTAAAATAAAACAATTATGTTTGATACAATTATAAACTATACACACTATCTTGAATAAACTAATATATAATGCTAATTCCTAATGTTATTATTTACATATAATCTTAACCTTAAACTTAATGATAAAACTATTTATTCTTGAATAAACATAAAAAGATTCCTTAATTTTAAGCTATCTTCGACATACCAGTATAAATCATCGAGTTCATATTTGTTTTCTATATGTGATAATTTTACTATTTGTTCTTTATCGTCAGAATTACCATCAATATACCTCAATTACATATCAACACACAAAATTATCATTAACTTAGGTACTTACTTCTAAAGGCTTTATATGTAGAACATTGCAACAAAAAATAGTATAAATCTTCTGATTCACGTGTATTACAAATGGAGTATTCAGCACTCCTATCTAGAAAACTATTTTGAAAACCATAAGAAGTAACTTTTAAGTTATATGATTGGCACAGCCTTAGTTGGCTGATCATTTTATGCTTTCTTATTGGCCCCTTGATTTTTAGATAATATTCACCGTTAGTGAAGCTACTAGTTAGTTTTTCTAAAGCTATGAGTTCAAGAGTTGAGGGAAAATTTATTACATTTTAACTTTTCAGTAAAATTTTTACATTCTCCTTCAAATAGTTCTTTATTTTAAATGTTTAATAATTCAACTGAGTCTATAGTTCTCAGCATATTTATCAATTGCAGGTACCAATTATATTCTGCATTAATTAAATAATCAGAGGAATATTTTTTTTAAAATTTGTAAACATACTTTTCGTAACTGGTTGTCTTCCATTTAGTATACTTGTCAGTACCAGCGAATCATTCTTTTAAGAATACTTATTTCTAATGATTCTAGACCCATTTCTACACGTACATAATGATTAGGAGTATTGCTTGGCCAATGATAAATTGCTTTAAAATAACTCAAAGCAGTGCGCTCTAATTTTTGGCAGTATAATGGAGCCCAGACCTCCGCTAAATATAAAAGAACGGAATTCACCATAGAATTTAACAATTTAAATTTCATATCGAGAGAATCTGATCTTGACCTTAACAAGATTTTTCGAACTCTAAAGGAAGCTAACTGTGATTTTTTAACAAAAGTATCTGCTGCCTGAGAAAATAAGCCCAATGATGAAAAAAACACTCCCAAATAATTGTATCGTTTAATTGTTTCAATTTTGAAATTGTTGTAGAAGAGAGGTTTAACTTTATCTGTATAACCAACATTTTAAAGATCGCACATTTTGTATTTTCAACATTAACAATGATTGAATTTAGTTGACAATATTTGTGCAGAGAAATTAGTATCTTATTTGTTCCGACCCAATCATTATTCAGTAAAACTGTTAGGATACTTCCTAAATAAATAAGAGGTTGCTAAATAATAAACAAAATTATAATAGTATTAATATATTAAATTGAAATTTATAATTATTTTATCTCAGGTATGGGTTAACGACAATCAGATTAAAAGACCCAGACAGACTAACATTAACTACACTAAACACTGTTTGATTTTAAAATAAAGTAAAGGATTGGCAAGTTAACCTTTTTGCTATATATACTGTTTCTTCCTTTGTTACACTAAGTTTGTTTGTCTTCAAATGCTTTCCAATCTTCTACCAAAACAAAACTTTCAAAATGGTGACACGTTCTTCTACTCAACACAAGCTCCCTGGGGGATCCTCTTTCTTTTAATTCCAAACAACTAGTCTCAATGTCAAACAACAACTTCCAAGCTGTTAATACTAATACTCGGTTTTATCCACTGGAGTCAGAATCTCTTCTCCCATCCTCTCTTCATCCCAGCCAAACACCAACTGCTTGCCAAAACAAAATCCTTTGTCCACCCCCTCTCTTTTTTGGGATTTTCCTTTCGGAGGAAACTACAGAGCAGCTATTTTCTTTTCCCTGAACTAGTGAAACTGGATCATCTTGCTTTTTAACTGTTAGATTAATTTATTAAATAATTTTTAACAACTTTCAATTAAGGTGTATACTACAATATTATACTATGTATTATAATAATATTTTATTGAATTTGCCGATGTTTCAAACTACATTCTAGGTCTACATCAGGGCTACAAAAAGTATAAACTATGAATATTAATTGGTACAAAGTAAAAAAATAAATGAATTATCCGTAGATATTAAACAAGCACAGGTTGCCAGATAAAGAACTTATAAAATAACATAGTGATGTGAATTATAGTATCCTTAGAATACATTATATTATATATAATGGACTATACGAAAAATATATACACTTTCAAAAATTAAATTCACTTCTATTTTCAGGATTTGAAATAGATAATTATTTTTTTCCAAAAAATCATGTAATAATTATATTTGATTTTTAATTTTAAAATCATGCTTTTTTTTTTTTTTTTTTTGGCTTTAAGACTTGTAAAAGCAAGTCCTATTTTGCCAGTAAAATATTTTAATTGTCATAGTGAGATGAAATTACGGTTTTTACATGGAAATTAAACTGGATTTATATTAATTATTTATAGTTAGATGATCACTGAAAGTAACTTATATGGAACTTAGATATTAGATATTAGATATTATGGAAACTAGAAAGACTGATGATTGAAAAAAGAGATGAATTAGAATTACAATTAACTGAGAATAAGCGCCAACTTTTATTATATGACTGCTTTTATGTCATTCATGAACTTTATCAAGTCACGGGCGTTAACTTTGTTCATCGACCGAAGAAAGTTTGCGATCCTAAACTAATTCTTCTTCGCTTCTCGAATCTTTTGCACTTAAGGCAATGTGTCTTGGATCCTCCAAGTATTGGCATGTTGGGCAGTGACCGCTCTTAGCTAGACCCATTAAATGTAGATATTTATTTGTTCTGCCGTAGTTTATCCTAAGCCTGGTCAGCTTTACTAAGCTGGAGAGGTCAAGATGAGATTTAAGAGTCGCAAACCATGGAATCAGTTCTATCTTCTGTTGAACTGCATGATGGTCCTTACCCTTCGAGGCACATTCCCAGTCGTAGAAATGCTGCCTGTCTTTCATTATTTCCCCCCTCACTACTCTTATCAAATCCAGTAAAGGGACCTTAGCATTTATTCGATGTAGTTGGTTTTGATTTGCCGTTTTGTCTGTCATTTCATTACCTGATATTCCTATGTGTCCCGGCAGCCACTGGAAAAAGTAATTGTTGCTGGCGTTGTATATTAATCATATGATTTTAAAAGAAATGAGTGTCAGTGCTTTATTTTGATAGATTAATTTTAGGTGTTTACATGCAGTTGCTGAGTCTGTCAGAATAACTATTTTTTGGTTGATATATGTGTTTTTGCTGTATATTATGGCGTTGAGAATGGCATATAGTTAGGCGCTGAAAATACTGAAATCAACTAGTATTGATAATGAAAATTTCTGGTTCTTTTGGAGATCATATATACTACAATACATAGAGGTTCGGTTACTTGTTTTTGATGCGACTGTATAAATTTGTAGATAATTTGGGTAACGGTCCGTGATTGTGTTCAGTGCTAATTGTTTCAAATAAATTGATGGGTATGAACTTTTCTTCTCTAATTTACCAGCTATATTAGAGGAGCTGTGAACATTAAGTAAAGATTTGGGAATGGGCGGTGTGTATTCCAGAGGAGCTTCCAAAATGTGTAGTGATTTCATAAGAGGCTGTAATTCGTTAATAATGACGGATAGTTGGGGACAGAACACGTTTCCACTTCTAATTTCTTTACCTACAGAATGATTATAGTTGGAATAGACTTTAAGAATGTATTTTTTCGTTAACAATGACCTTCTGATGTGTAATGGCATCTCTCCGGCTGAGGCTTGAAGCGTGTTTACTGGAGAAGTTTTAAAAGCACCCAAACATAACCTTATGGCACAGTTTTGTGTTGTATTCAACTTATTAATGAGGGCAGATTTAGTTTGATTATATACGATACAGCAATAATCAAAATTAGATCTTACTATTGTTTTGTGGAGAGTGAGCATGTTTTGTGGGTGGTTCAAGTTTTGCAGCGACTGTGTATGAATATGTTTTATATGCGTTTTGAAATTTAATTTAGTGTCTAATGTTACGCCTAAAAACTTTAAGTGTTCTTTGCCTTTAACTGTGTATTTTTCATTTGAAATCTCAAAATCTTTGAAGTTAATTGTTCTTTTTCTAGTAAAAGGAGTAATGCTGCATTTGTTAGGATTAATTTTTAGGTATATTATTGGAAATGCTTGGGTTAGGTTGTCCAGTGCTGAGCTGATTATGACTTTCCCTTCTTCTGCAGATTTCTGTATAAACTAAAAAGTAATCTGCAACTTGAATGATTTTACACTTTTCAATTGTATTGTTGGTGATGTGTTCCGTGTAAAGATTGAAGAGGGTTGAACTCAAAGTATCACCTAGAGGGAGACCACTGTAG